TGAATATTAGCAAAGATAAGTGGGAAAGAAAATATGCGCGTGACCCAAAGCCAATATATAGTGAAGTAGAGTAAGACTGCTTTCAAACTAACACTCCTCCTGTCTGTAACTTCTCTGGGGAAAAGCATATGGAGTCTGGACCAAACTCAGGCTACAGACTTTGCAAGTAAGAAGAGAACCTGCAGGAAAACCTCATCCCTGTAAACAGGTAATAAAGGATGTTAACCCTGGGGAGGAAGGGCCACCCGTCAAAGACTGGAAAGCAGCCTATGTGTGCACCACAAGAAATTAAGACGTTATTCCATGGAGATGAGGCCAAACTCCATCACACCAAGTGGGAGGTACAGGGACCAAAATAAACCCCACAGGGACTTCGGGGCCAGGAGATAGTGTCACGGTAGAGGGGACGAAAGGCAAAGGCTGAGATGAAGCAAAAGCTTGAAGAAATATTCTAAAGAAAAAACTGTTACGGTTATTTTGGAGAAAGAAGGGCCAAAGGAAGAGGCAGCGAGGCTGGTGACTGCTGGTGCTGAGCCCGAGCACTTTCTGAGCAGTTCTGATTGCAAAGCAAACGAACAGCAGACTAGAGAACAATGCCTTTCATCGGGTAAAGCAATCACCATGTTCATTGTGAGGCACTGAGAGCATTGCCTTTCAATTCGGGAACAGGCCACAGTTGCCTGCTCTCAGTGTGTGTATCGACATCAAGTTACAGAGCCTAACCAACAAATAAAACACACACACACATACACACACACAGCAGAAGAGTTAGAACAAAGAAAGAAAATTGTCAATAGTCAAGGATTATGTGATTTCAATACAGAAAATCCACAGGTGAACTATTAGCAATACAGGAGAGCTCAGAAAGGTGGTTAAAGATCAATGTAGAAAAATCAATTTTATTTCTTATATGCAGTCAACACTCATTCAGAAAGTGTAAGTTTATAAACATCATTTATAATAGCAGCAATATGCATATGGTATCTAGTGATAAATCTAGGGAAAAATATGTAGGACCATTGTGGGGAAAAAAGCATAACACTTCACTTAAAGACATTAAAATAGACTAAATAGAAAGATGTGATGTTTATGGACGGAAGAGACTATTACAAAATCGATTTTTGCCCTGGCCAAGTGGCTCAGTTGGTTGGAGCATTATCTCATGCACCAAAAGGTTGTGGGTTCAATCCCCCATCAAGCACATATCTAGCTGAGGGTTCAATCCCTGGCTGGGTCAAGTACGGGAGGCAGCTTATCAATGTTTCTTTCTCACATCAGTGTTTCTCTACCTACCCCACCCCCCTCCTCTGTCTCTGAAATCGATGAATACAGCCTCAGGTGAGGGTTAAAAAAGCAAAGTCGATTTTTCCTACAAACTCAATATTCTCCTAGTCAAAATCCAAAGGCACCAAATGTGCAAACCATAAAGGGAAGGTCAATAAATCTCACTGAGTCAAAAAATGAAAATGTCTACACAAGAAAATACCATAAAGCAAAGACAAACCACAGTTGGGGAGATATCTGCAAGAACCAGTGAAAGAACTAGTATCCACCATTTTGAGAAACTCTTAAAAAACAGTAGAAAAAAAAAAAGAAAAACCTAGTAGAAAACTAATCAAAGACATGACTAAGTAACTCTAGAAGAGGAAATCCAATGAGCCAAAAGCATTTCATACACATTAGATAAAGTTTTTAGCAAAGGCTGACAGTACAAAGCATTGGAGAGACTGCTACCTGAGGGGGTTCGTACCAACAACAGGAGGGAAGGCAAACTGACACTTGGGATAATCAGGACTGTCTAGCCAGGGTAAAGATGCCCATGCCCTGTGATTCAGAATTTTACTCTCAGAGAAATTCCAGAACAGTATACAAAGCAATTGTGAATTTACATTGTGTCATAGTAAGGATCAGTGAAAAATAAAAAGCAATCTAAAATGTTCATTAAGAAGAAAATACATAAATATATTATAGTCCACTCATTCAATGGAATATTACACAACTTGAAATAAACAAACTACAGTATAACATAAATCAACATGGATAAACTTCCATGACATAATAGTAAGTGAAAAGAAGTTACAGAAAGATAAATGCAAGATGATAACCATTTATGTAAACTTTGAAAATACAGAACACAATGCTCAATGTCATAAGGAAACATAATGTAGTAAAAGAAGTAACAGGCATGGCAATCACATGTAATTCAGAATAGCGTACCTCTTGAGGGGAGGGAGGAAAATGGATTGGGAAGTTAAATATCTTCAATCTGTTATTTCTTTTAATGCTCACCTGAGGATGTGTTTATCAATTTTAGAGAGAGGAGAAGGTGGGGGAGAAAAAGGAATATTGATCAGCGGCCTCCTGTACAGTTCCTGACTGAGGACCAGACACACAACCAAGGCATATGCCCTGACCGGGGATTGAACCTGGTGTACATCTTGTACATCTTGGTGTATAAGAACCTGGCCAGGGCCTGTTACTTATTTTTTTTAATATAAATATCTGAAGCAAAATTGTGGTATAATGTTGAGAAATAACAAAGTTAGAGGGCCATAAACATGTATTTGTTCTATTATTCTGAATACTTTTCTGTATGTTCAAAATAAACAATAAACAAATGAAATAAACAATGAACAACCCCTATCCAAAATAGTAAATTAAAGGTTATAAGAGGCAGGTACACCCCAAAGTGATTTTTTGGCATTAAAAATTAGTTCTAAAAAAGACCAGTCCCAGCTCTGTGGTGAGAACTGGGTAAGAGGCGTCCACACAGCCTTCCAGTGGTGACGGGCCCCACACCACCTTGTGCATCAGGCAGGACACGAGCTGTGCCCTACGTTTCACAAGTCCCATCCTTCTTACAACGCCCACACTACTTCTAACTGGACTAAAAGGTCTTTTTTTTTTTAAGCAACAGAACCAACATTTGATGGACATAAACTCACTGGAGGAAGAACATTCGTGCAGGGATGCAACAGAAGGACAGCAGCCTCCCCCTGCTTGAGCTGCAGCCTGTGCTGGACAGCAGGCTCTAGCCCTGGGGAAGGACAGTCACCTCCCCAGGGAGCTGACAGTGCTGCTGCCTCAAAGACTCGTTCGTCCCTTAAAAACAAGAGAAGTTGGGCCCCTGCACTGGTGTGAAGCAAAAAAAGGTCCTAGTCTCAACCAGAAAAGAATCTGAGACTGAGGAGGTTTGATATTCATGCACGTTCCTGAAGCTCAGTCCTGGCAATATGCGAGGTCTGTCTGGGAAAAGTCCAGCCACAGTTAATACAATGAGAACAGTACACACGACATTGATGTAACCTGGCAGCCAAGGAGAGAGGACCGGAACTCGCATGTGTGGACAATGAGGACTTCACCATACTGGTCAGCGGGGGTGGTAGACACCGTTGAGTGAGCATTGTGTACTGTGTGGCTGATGCATTCAAAATGACTGAGCGAGTAGAGCTGAGTCTGCATCAAATTTTGTGTTAAGCTTGAACATTCCTCCGTGGAAAGTATTCAGATGATTCAGAGGCCGCAGCTATGGACAGCTGGTGATCAGCAGCTTCATCAGAACAATGCGCTGCTCACACATCACATCTCGTGCAGAGTTTTGTGGTGAAACATCAAATCAGCCCCCCGAAAAGCCAGATTTGGCGCCCTGTGACTTTGGGCTTTTCCCAAAACTGAAATCACCTTTGAGAGGGAAGAGATTTCAGACCATCAGTGAGATTCAGGAAAATACAACAGGGCAGCAGATGGCAACTGGAAGAACTGTGTGAGGTCCCAAGGAGCCCACTTTGAAGGGACTGAGGTGTCACTGTCCTATTACATTGTTTCTTGTACTTTGTATCTTCTTCAGTAAACGTGTCTATTTTTCACAGTCTGCACACCTTCCGGACAGCCCTCGCTGGCAGGCTTCCCGGAGACTGGCACGTAGACTGGGCGGTGCAGAGGAGTGCGAAGGCTGCTTTGTTCTCATCTCTGGACACTGCCTTCAGGAGATCACTACCCTCTACTCTCACCAATCAAGTGGGAAGAAAGAAAGTTCTGTCCATTTGGACTTGTAGAAAGAAGTGGAACACGTGGTCCTCGTGGCAGAAGACTGGGGAGAGGGTGGAGGGAGCTCAGAGAGGGGGAGCTCTATGAACTGTGACTCAGACAGAGACGGGAAAGAGCAGGACGTGTCTGAGGAAATCCAGGAAGTCTGGACTCCTGAAGCACAAAGTAGGAAGTACAGGGGAGGAGTAGAAAATAAGCCTGGAGAAGTAACAGGGACAAGAGCATGGGGCACCCTGGATGCAGACTAGGGAGACCAGGTCTCACCCTACAAGGAAGATCAGAGTGACAGGACCAGAGCTGTCTTTTACAGAGACTGCTCTGCACCACGGGATGTTGGGTAGAAGCACAGGTATGTGTCATGTCAAACTGAGAGCAGATTCTAGCTTGTTTTTCAGTGTAACTTTGGTAACTTGGTCTCTCTCAGCCAGTTTCCTTAACTGTAAAATGGAGGTAACTCCCTACCTTCAAAGATTATAAAGAGGGTCAAGTAGTGAATGAATATAAACATAAACTGTGCTACAAAGACACACAGCTCAGTAGTTAGCACATTGTAAGTATTGAAAACATGATATGGAAGAAAAATTTGCTGTAATAAATGTGGCAGATGGAATAAGAGAAGACAGGAAACAGTAGCCAGTTAACAAGCCAGAGGGAAGGCCATGTCTGAGAACTACTTAGGAAGAAAATAAACAGGGCTAGTGAAGAACTTTCTCCAAGCCCTGTGAGAGAGAAAGACACATGAGGTTCTCTTGAGGTTTCCCTCAGCAGGACCTAGGGTGCTGCTGTCACCTCCTCCTCAGACGACAGTGCGGACTGGGGACCAGATGCCACATGGAACCCACCTTTTACTGCCAGCACGGCTGAAGAGGCAACAAGTATATGGCGGAGGGAGAGCTCTTTGGTGTCAGAAGACCCGGGTGAATGGCACCGCTTAACTAGAGCAAATCACTCACCTGCTCCTCACCTGGGTGACACCTGCACTTCAGGTGCTGCACAGGCTCACGCGACACGACCCAGCAACACGATGAGCACTTGACGTGGCACAACACAAAGAAGTCCCGCACTTGACAGTGTCTCCTGTGAAAACACCACAGCCTCATCACAGCATCAGCCCGTCTGGAGGCCCCGGGAGCTGAGACGGCCCAGTACACACCAGTGTGTGGGTTCCCAGGCACCTGATGTTCCGTTTAGGGACAGCCTGTTTTTATTTCCAGTGCGTGTGTCACATCTTTCACCGTAATATGCTCTATCGGGTTTCTAAACAAACAAAACTGGTTTTGGGGAGCTCATCTCTGCAGACAGCAACTGGGAGACTGTACAGTTTTACCCAAAAGTTAAGTAAAAAGTTGGCCCCAAGCCCAGAAAGCAGGCAGTCCTCCCAGACAAAACTGGATAAACCAAGCCTACAAACAATGAGTGGATAAAACAGTACAGAGGGAAGAACACAGCGACAGCCAGAATAACCCACACTGAAGGGCCCTGCCATAGTCCAGAAGGGCACCAAGTGTTCAGATCTGCGGAGTCAAGTGAGGCAAAAGTTAACAGAGTGTAAGATACCAAAGCTAAATGAAAACTACCCGGGACATAGATATTCCCCCTGTGACCCAGAGGTAAGGTTTATGGAAGCAATAAGAACCAAATGCTCTACCCACATTAAGATTCAAGACTCCTTATGAGAGATTAGGCAGCTAGAGATATAACTTGGAAAAGGAAGAACATCAATGGGGACAAAATATAAACACATTAAATGTGAAAAGTAAGTTTCCACTTCAACAGTTTATTTTATTGATGCTGCTGTTTCAAATTTGATTTCTCAAAGGAATGTACTAATTGCATATTTCACAAGACATTCTTTTCTACTTTCACTTATGAAATAGTAAGAGAAGTGAATCTTCAAGGGAAAAAAAACTTGCCAAAATGCCCTCAAAATGGAATTGTTCTTTAAGATACTGCCACAGCACAAGGTTTCAATTTTTTTCAAAAATCAAGCTTTCCTCTAAACATATAAAATGTTTTTTTAAAAACATTTAATCTGAAATATCCACTGCAGAGTCAGTGAGTGAAAAAGCAAGCTATAGGGGCCATCTAACAGACCAGACCCGGCCGCAGGTCTCTGACGAAGGGATTTGGTCTGAGAGCACCATTTAAACCAACTGGTGAATCAAGGTGCCCCTATCAGAGCTTGCAAATAGACCTGGTGAAGTTCATGAACAAACCCACCAATATGTGGATTTGTGGGGGAGACAGATGACTATGCCAAAGATGCTTCTGACCTATTAGAGAAAGAAGAGTTTTTCTAAGAACATAAAGTATACACAGTAGAGCAAGTTATAGGGGAATATTTTAAGACCCTTTTTCAATACAGTGCTGTTATCAAAAGCATACAAAAAAATCCTTACTATTTAGATACAATTTTTAAAAATAAAATCACACAAATGCCAGGTATTTATACATAGAAAAAAAATGCAGGAAGGAAATGCACCAAACAGTTAACTGTTTTTTACCTCTGGGTGGAAATTTAACCAAAACAGTTATTATTTCTGCCCTTATTCTTTTGTTTCATAATAAATAAATATGACTTTATAATTGTAAAATCAGCATTTTATCTCCGTACATGTATCTCCCTCTGTAAAGTCACGCCGTCAGTGAACAAGCCCTGCTCAGCCTCACCCCATCCCCAGCGGCACCATGTTTGGGGGCTGTGACTGGCTCTCTCTAAATCCACACCCAGTGACTGACCAGGGCAAGCTCCCATACTGCTGACAAAAGTCTGCTGGCTGTCCACCCAGGGACCCGTCTCAGCTGGGGCTCCCGTGGGGGCCCACAGTCAGTGTGGGAGAAAGATCATCAGCGGTTAAAGCCATCCGTGAAAAGCCTCTTGCGCTGCCCACATAAGCACAGTGTAAGTAGCTTTATGTATGTATTCCTATAGATTACACACCGAGAATGATTCCGAAGGGGTATGATATTCAGCAATGAGGCCCCTCGTGTACTTTGGTGCTTGGACCTGCCCAGCAGGTGCATGAAGATTTCAGTTTGCAGTCTTTCCCTATTCACCCTCCTCCTCATTTCCAACAAGTTTTCTGAGTCAATAATTTTCTATGGCCCTCAATCATTATCGTTGTCCTCCTTTCCTCTCCTTCTTCTCTTGTTTGGTAGAATACTTCCTAACCCCCAAGCCCCACCACCTCAACAATGTCTCTCCTGCCAGTCAAAAACTCTTGCAGGTTTTGTCGGCCACATTTCCTGTGATGCCCCTGACTGACTTCAGTGCCCAAAGGGACGCCCTCACTGAGTAAAATGGGGAGCAGAAATGACCTCCTCACTGTTTAAATCATCATTCATGTGCTCTTTGTTTTCTTATAGCTGAATTTAAGGAAGGTAAAATGTTAGATACGAATCCTCTGTACAATCAGAGCTCTGCTGTATTGGGAGCACATAAAGGAGTCTCAGTGTTGGTGGACTTACCATCAATCTACTTAAGGTCACAGTTGAGACTACACTTACTCAGTGTATAATGAATGACAGAGACCCCAAATGCACCCAAATTGAGAGAAGGAGGCAATGGAGTCTGAGGCTTTGGCGCTGTTGGAAGGCTTCCTGGAGGAGGCAGACCTTGAGACAAACCCTAAAGCAGGGCAGAATTAGACAAATTGAGGCAGGGAGGAAAGGACGTTCCACGAGGGAATCATGGCTTGGATTTGAGGAGTGTGGGAAAGGCAGGAAGTACCAGGTTTTCTGGAAAGGCAGATAAAGTGATTCATTGGTAAGTACTGATGCCATGTCTGCTATTGACCAGTGCTGGCAGGCACCGAAGAGGCACGGACGAGAGAGCCCTGGTCACAGAGGGACGAGTGAGCCTCCAGGAGTCATCCAGTCAACGGACACAAACCCATGAGCAACCTGAGACACGTGGCAGGCGACAACGGCTCTCCCTTCGACTGAGGAATGGAGAAACAGGATGTGTAGCAAGCCCATGGGTTGGAATCCTTAGAACTCGGAGATAACAGGGAATAAAGTACTGATAAATGCTACAACACGGGTGATCCTTAAAAACACTATGTTAAGTGAGCCAAACCAGTCACAGAAAGCCACATATTACATGATTCCATTTATCTGAAATGCCCAGCAGAGGCAAATCAATAGAAACCGAAAGACTCATGGTTACCAAGCAAGGGATGGGAGTGACTGCTTAATGAGCGCAGATGTCTTTCTGTGGCAACGAAATGTTCGGGAGTTAGGTATTGGTGATGGTTGTAGAACCTCGTAAATATACTAAAAAAACACTGAATCGAATGCCCCTAAAATAGTGAAATGTACAATATATGAATTATACTTCAAAAAGAAGAAAGGAAGGAAGGAAAAAGAAAGTCGGTCAAACTAAGGTTTTCCAGGACAAGCACGGTTCCGTGGGGCTAGAGGTTGCGGGGAGAAAGTGGGGGACTGCAAGCGATGGGCCAGATCTTGATCCAGCAGGGCCTCGCCACGGGGTCTGACCCTTGTCCTACACAAGGGTGGGCAAACACGTGGCACTGGGCCCCGCTGCTGCTGTCTGCCTGGCAGATGGGCCTATGATGCCCCTGAGCCCTTCTCTGTCCATGCAACCTCCTCGCAGTCCATGTGCCCCAACAGGAGTCACTGAAGGACCATGAACAGGGAAGTGGCCTCCTTCACCGGAGGCTGAATGGAGACAAGACAGGCATGAACAGTCTGGGCACACAGTGATGAGACACTGAACTGCAGCAGCGGCAATGAGAAGGAAGACAAGAGGGAACGTTACGGGCTAAGGAGGCAAAACCAGTAAGACTTCACTGGTCAGCCACAGCCCCACAAGGATGGCCCTGCTCACCACTGTCTCCCCCAGTGTCCAGCACACTTGCTACATAGGAAGGGAAGGGCTCCCTGAACATTAACCAAATAGGTAAGGGTTTTATCTATATTCTCTCAGTGAATCTTCGCAATAATACCGTGAGGAAAGTAATGTTACCCCCACTTCAGATAAGGAATCTAAGGTTTAGAGAGGTTAAGTGACCTACCCCAAATACAACCAACTAAAGAGGGCAGAATTCAATTCCACCCCAGACTTCTAATTCCAGACTCCAGGCTCCCAACCACGCGTGGCCCAGGTTCCCAGCTTGGATTAAGGGGTAGGTAATGGTGTTGTCAATGGTGAAATGCAGGAAATAGTTGGAAGACAGACTGGGGGTCAGAAGCACAGATTTGGGTGTTCTTGAAAGTTCAGGTAATGGAAGCCTCACATACAAAAGGTGCTCAGAGAGTGTATGTAGTGGGGGAAGGATGGTCGAGGATGGACCAAACCATGAGGCAGTAAGGAGAAGGAGTCTGGCCCTGGCCCGGTAGTTCAGTTGGTTAGAGCATCATCTCGATGTGCCAAGGTTGTGGGTTCGATCCCTGGTCAGAGCACATACAAGAATCAACCAATGAATTCATAAATAAGTAAAACAACAAACTGATCTTTTTCTCTCTCTCCCTTACCTTTCTCTCTAAAACCAATACATTTAAAAAAATGAGAAGGAAGAAAGGAAGGAGTCTTCACAGAGAGTCAGGCAGGGCAAGGACCAGCCTGGGAGTATGCTCTCAGGAAAGACATCAGTAAGGCGGTGTGATCGACAGAGCCAAACGCTGCAGAGATTTCAGACCCACTCATTGGAGGGGGTCACTGGAACTACAGAAAAAGACAGCATTTGAGAGGGATTCTCAAAGAGGTTTTTGAAGGCTGCCTGGTGTTTTCTGACTGTGTCGGGGCATCAGAATCTGAGGAGCTAGTTAAAAACCCGTAGTTCCCCAGTTCCCACAAATGGTGTAGGTGGTTCGGTCCCTTTAAGCCTCTGTTTCCTCACCCCTGAGCTGGAAACAGGAACAGCAACCTCACAGTGTGTGCACTTTACGTGTAGGCTTTAAAGAAGCTCCCAGGTGACCGTGACGTTACTTGAGAACTGGCTTTCTTTCAGGAAGCCAGCTGCAGGAACCACGGGGAAACTTTTAACTGGGGAGGTGGGTGAAAGGCAGCCCTCTTGGGAGGGCTGCTCAGACGAGAGCGTGGGGAGGGAGAGTCA